ACCGGATTCCAATTTACACTCGGGCTTTATGGGTCACGTCTTTGTTTTGGTAGGACATCGTATGTACTGAGCTTCACACTCCAATAAGTCTAGTTTATACATGATATGTGTATTTTTAACACTGCCCACATTCCATAACATTGACAGGTTCAAGTTCTAGATCCCTCCAGAGATCAGGTGGACCCCACCCCTTTTCTACCTCGTACAATTTGTATCCATTACCTGGTTTATGGGTCAGGTAGCAATCAATAGAGAAAGAAATAGGTAGACCAGACATGCGAAAGAAACAGCAGTTAAGCTTACGTAACTTGTTTTATACTGGAGATAAAAAAAAAAAATATGCTACACTAACTACCCGAGACACTGTATATGTATTCAATTCTGCAGCCAAACTGATGAAGAATATGATGCTTCAATATATAAGTGTTTTCTTGATCTCACCATGAAACATTCCTTACATGATACAATTCAGCTAGACTTGTCAAACAAGCACTTGTCTTATAAGGCCAAACAACCAAGCTGTTGTGGTTCTGCTTTCGACTCTCAAAAAATAAGGGTAGGAAGACAAAATGTTTTCTTTTGCTCTATATTCTGACAGCTGCAGAAACAGCATTTAAATGTCTTTTTTTTTCTCAGCCCATTGACAATGGAAGTCACTAAGAGCCAAACAACACCATCAATATAGACATTCACAAAAAATATTTTATAAAAAGAAGATTATTTATTTGAAATAAGTGAAAAAATAGGATAGGTACTAAAAACCGAAGTAGATTGTGAAAGTTGAAAAAAATTATTTGGTCAAATATTCTAAATGTTCTGGTAGGATACAAAAATCAGATCCGGACAAAATAAAATTACTTGGGCATAACGTTCATAAACAAATCTTTTATTTCTGGACCAAAATTCACTTATATAAACCTGAAATAAGCGGTCAAACTAATGTACCTTTACATTTAATCACACACAGATATCAAATGGTGGGTGGAACTATACCTACATTCCTTCCAATGTCTTTTGTAGACAATCCCATGGTAACGGTCCTGTTTCACAACTCTGGGTCTCCTTACAGAAAACATTTAAAGCATCCAATGTGTACCATATACCTGGGCCATACAAATACTTTAAACCAATTCCAAGTCCAAAATTTCCATACCATGCAGTGTGGGGTCCGATAACGATGTGGCCAAAAATGCTGTCTGTCTAATAACTTGAAGACATCAGTAAAACACACTAGAGAAAACCACTCAACCATCATTTCCCCTCAAATGCTGATAAGTGACAATTAAAATGCAGGAAAAACAGGATACGTCATCACCAGTTCAGCCGACATATAGTGTTAATGTGTTATAGCATACCCTGGTAAGGAATCAACACTTTTTAAACAAATATAGATCACAAACCCAAAGATTACAGATAAGGTCCAAGTCGTGATGACATCAGTGTTGTTTTGCATGGAAAACAAACCATTAATTGGTGCTGACAAATTCACAATAGTACTCCAAAATTTGGAGATGGGCTTATTTGCGGTCAATAACCCCACCCCAACCCCAAAATGTATGGAACGAGGGGGAAAGGTGGAAGTGCTGTTATAACAATTAAGTACTGGCTTTTCACTTGTACAACAGTTTCATGAAAATCAATGCATTACTGTAAGAGCTACCACACAGATACCACCTAAGGTGCTAAAACTCCAAATTCTGTCTGTAGAATTTTCATGTCCATAACAATCCTTTTTACCACACTTTTTCCTAAAATTTGTGCAAAGCAAACATACTGCCAAATTTCTAAATAACAGACATAAATTTAGACTAAAAAGGGTACATGGTACATCTCAATTTAAAAAGCATGAGGTTGTCATGACATTAGCTTGTGCAATACTCCTCATTTCCCTGGGTTAGTATCTGTTGCCGACAGCTAGACCCTTATTGTCAGTTGAATGATATTTTGACACTTGACTGATTGTGATGTCATAATGAAATTCTATCATCTGATTGTGACATCATTATAGTAAAGATCATGACTGGGTCTATATGGGATAGCATGTACCTTACGAGAGTTCCGCGAGGGACACACCTAGCTAATACAGGTACTAACACAGCACTGGGAGAGTCAAAATTAACAACTGCACATAAAGAACAGGTATTGTAAACCAGCTCTACACATGGTGTCTGAACACCTCCACCTGTTGTAAAACCACCAATTACCTCAGACAGGTTTACCTGAAACCACTCCTTCCGTCCTTCACTGAATTAACATGTTTGTCTCTGATTTATAAATATAACTGATATCATCTTAAATAATTCTGTATCTTCTAAAACATACTTAAACTGAATGGTTTCCAATATTTCAAGTTAAAATTCCTTTTCACTGATATGTTCTACTTTGTTGAATCTAGATGAATGCCTCTGAAATCTGCATTATTTACCTGTTACGAGACCCGTCCAGGTGAATTGAATTGTAAACATTGATGTGAAATGTGTAGTAGGATAAAACCAACTCTTCAATTAATACACATTGCAGAAGGGGGTCTGCATGACTCAACATTCCTGCATTGTAAACGATTATTTAATCCTTACAGGAAGTCACCTTGGATAGCATTTTACACCATGTTTGATTAAGTCTGGCTTATCCCCTTATTCAAAGACGCTTGAGGTTAAAAGCAAATAATATCAAACTTTCCTCTCTAATCTTTACTGACCTAGCTAGGTGTATGTAAAATATCTACTTCCGCAGCTAGTGCTAAAACATCTATACTAGTCGCTAATATACCATCTACCTTAAAAACGGGGGAATTTCAGGTGGGCATACCAAGGATGTTTTGTATTACATGTGTATGATTTATAGAAGTGTGGTCTCTTTTATTCAGTCAACAACCAAAAAATGCTATTAAGAAAGAATTTAATACGATGTATATCCTGAAAAAGTTAAGGCAATTCAGGATTAGCATTTATACCATATCCCCTTATCCTTCTGAAGCATAGGATTTCAAAAGGTCCCCACTTTTTTCAATAATTCCATGTGTTTAGTCATGGTCAGGTTCATATACGGCCATACAGGGTCTGACTGTTCAGTCTTGGTAAGGTTCAATGGACTGAGGGTAAGGATGTTGAATCTTGGTAAGGTTCAATGGACTGAGGGTAAGGATGTTGATTCTTGGTACGGTTCAATGGACTGAGGGTAAGGATGTTGAATCTTGGTAAGGTTCAATGGACTGAAGGGTAAGGATGTTGATTCTTGGTAAGGTTCAGTGGACTGAGGGTAAGGATGTTGATTCTTGGTAAGGTTCAATGGACTGAAGGGTAAGGATGTTGATTCTTGGTAAGGTTCAATGGACTGAGGGTAAAGATGTTGATTCTTGGTTCAACTGACCAAGGTTAACGACAGCTAGTTCTGGTAATATAAGGTTCATTTGGCCATTCAGGGTCTGAATGTTCAGTCTTTGTGGGGTACACCTGACCAAGCATATGGATGGTCATTTTTAGTTCTTGTGAACATACAGGTCAGAGTGCTGATAATGAGGACAGTCAGTAAGGATCCTTTAGCTGGATACTGGGTAAACATCAGAAGGACTTTGTGCCATTGCTATATTTATAGATGGATAACACTACCCCTACACACACACACACACACACACACACACACACCCTCCACACCCCCACACCTAAAATTCTGTCATTGTATTAGTCAATATTTATATATATATATATCTATATGAAACATTAAGTAACCAAAAAATGTAGAAGTCACAATGTTCCTACTAAACTGTCTGCCAATTATCCCAACTGGTTTTACAGCGGCCATAAACAATCACTCATTGATATTAATATTCTATATACACGAGCTGGTCTATACGATACACACACATCAATAGTGTCAAGGGGCCACTGGTCTACTGCAGTAGGACTGATGGATTGGGCAGTGACAGGCCAATATAAACATAGAACTGACTCAAGTGTAAATACCAATCATTAATATACAGTTATTCTATAGACAGACATCACAGGTGCCTCCCAATATATTATCCCCACACTGGGGACTGGTGGGGACAGGTATACCAGTGGCTAAAGGCCAGGTATGTCAGTTTCCTTAGGGTGAATGTAGGATTGCTGTACACTGGTGAAACACTTCTCAAGGACTTGTGGAAATGTGTAGACTGGATTATAAGGACCAATAAATTAGGGTGAACAAACACATCAAATGATATCATAAACCTCACTATGTCCTGGCTTACTTTATCCCACCTTTCTTTTTGAATTTATTCAGTAAATATTCATAGGTTATACAGCATTTTCTCCAGCTCAATGTACAGTAAACATTAGATATCTATCATATACTAAATATATTTGGAGAAGGCAATTAATTAGATGGTGTTTACAATGCTACTGGTTTTGTATATACCTTAACTTAATTCAACAGGAGCAAGTGCAGTATTTTTTGTACCGAGTTGGTCAGCTTTCAGTAATATCTCCGACACGCTCAACTTTGGATTAAGGGAATGCATCGTGCATGCCCTGTCCCACCCCAACCTTGATCTGCAATTGTTATCATTTTATACTTGATAAATAAAACTTGAGCATTAAACTTTGCCACACACTCCGACATACAAAATGAAGAATGTCCCTAAATAAGACTAGTAATAAGAAGTATTTGATAAGACGTACATCTCGTGGACACCCTCCCCACTGACACTGTCATTCAACTGTAGCAAGTACCATGCACGAGTGTACACTGTGCCCGTCCCCCACAACACTGAACACGCGCGCTTGTAGCGCAAATTATAAACAAGGTCAACGCAGTACTACTGCTTGTCATGAAAGATGGTTATATGACACTAACTTTACATAAGCACACATTCCTATAAAATTATTAAGTTACATGGAAACAAACTTTAAATCTTGCCGTCCTACACTTCAGCAGAAACCGGATGCTGACCAGCAGGCGCGGCAGTGCAGCCAGTCGGAGGGAGTACCGTCCGAGACACGACACACACGTCAACTTACCTACAAAATCATCTACCGTGACATCATTCCCTGAAGCCAACTTGTTACAGGAGAAAATGAGTATATCCCTCTTCTAAGTTAGGAAAAAACAATCCGCCTTCAAACTGGAGTGACTTTAACGAACAGAGTGTGCATGGAATGGCTGCCACCCGATGTTAGTATATACCTGATACAGGTGCGCCAACTGAAGCGACCTCTGGCGACAAACACGAACGCTATTCGGTGGGCGGTGCCCCAATGCTATTTCAGCTACCGGTTTATTTACCTGTTGAACTAACACACCTAGTTTCAGTTTGAAATGTATAGTTGCCCAAACCAGGACAGTTTATCATGACATATACAACTCGCGTGCGACTCGAGAGATATTATCACATTGCCATGCGAGTTAACTATCTAATCGGACCGAATATCTCGACCATCTTCAAGTTGACGGTGATATACAGAGGCGAATAAGTCGGTCAAGGCGATTGTAACGGCTTTGTCTTCTGGCACAGTTGGAGATACAAGCCATTGTTTCTTTTAACTCATAGTAAACCTTGGAGGTACATTGTTGTGTACAGTTGGGTTATATGATATGATACTAGTGTTCTGGATTCTCAGAGTAAAATGAAAGACTGCTTTGGTGCTTTCCATGAACTTTTTATGGAGGTGAAATAATCTTATTAAAAATAGCCAAACAAAAACTGCCGTTGCAAACAGAAGTGTATTTATGTATTGCTGTGTTTTACAATATTCATTCTCTGCTATTAAATCGACGATCTGAAGGTGGAGAAGAAATTAAATGCAGTTATTCAAACGGCTAATTAAAAAGCCGTCTGAAAACTGATATTTACAATTTACAGAATGTAAATAAAAAACACTTAAATGTAAATATTAAATATAAGCTTTATTTATTTTACAACAATTATAAAACAAGTTATATTTCTACAGAATGAGCAAACAAAGTAAAATGTAATCCGTATTTAATTTATATAATTGTCATCAGGTTTAATTGGCTATCAGCCTTTTTGATTTTCATATATTTTCCTATAAACTACAGACTACAGGCTATTGGTCATAGATCTATGACATAATCAACAGATATTAGGCCTGCTGTAGACTAACACAAGAAAACAACCATACAGACTACGGACTGAAAGTCAGTCGATCAACAGGTATGTGACAACATTCTGCAGGTCCTATCGCCATGCTATCGTAACGTAAATATTAGTGTTATGACTTGGGTATATATTCGATCATGTACTGTCCACTTGTCATCACGTGAAACTGTCATACCTGTCACCTTTCTCCTGATGCATCATATGTGTCACTACGTACATAGTCACCTAAAGGGGGCTCCTAGGCGGGCCGTTCTTCCCATGTGAGGGGAAAGCATGTAGTCCTCATAACAGGGGACTACCTAGTCAGGCCGTCCACACTATAGAGGGAGGAACAACACATATAGTCCTCAGTACAGGGGGCTCCTAGTCAGGCCGTCCACACTATAGAGGGAGTAACAACACATATAGTCCTCAGTACAGGGGGCTCCTAGTCAGGCCGTCCACACTATAGAGGGAGTAACAACACATATAGTCCTCAGTACAGGGGGCTCCTAGTCAGGCCGTCCACACTATAGAGGGAGTAACAACACATATAGTCCTCAGTACAGGGGGCTCCTAGTCAGGCCGTCCACACTATAGAGGGAGTAACAACACATATAGTCCTCAGTACAGGGGGCTCCTAGTCAGGCCGTCCACACTATAGAGGGAGAAACAACACATATAGTCTTCATTACAGGGGGCTACCTAGTCAGGCCGTCCACACTATAGAGGGAGGAGCAACACATATAGTCCTCAGTACAGGGGGCTCCTAGTCAGGCCGTCCACACTAAAGAGGGAGGAGCAACACATATAGTCTTCATTACAGGGGGCTCCTAGTCAGGCCGTCCACACTAAAGAGGGAGGAGCAACACCTATAGTCCTCAGAACAGGGGGCTACCTAGTCAGGCAGTCCACACTATAGAGGGGGTAGCAACACAAATAGTCCTCATTACAGGGGGCTCCTAGTCAGGCCGTCCACACTATAGAGGGAGTAACAACACATATAGTCCTCAGTACAGGGGGCTCCTAGTCAGGCCGTCCACACTATAGAGGGAGAAACAACACATATAGTCTTCATTACAGGGGGCTACCTAGTCAGGCCGTCCACACTAAAGAGGGAGGAGCAACACCTATAGTCCTCAGAACAGGGGGCTACCTAGTCAGGCAGTCCACACTATAGAGGGAGTAACAACACATATAGTCCTCAGTACAGGGGGCTCCTAGTCAGGCCGTCCACACTATAGAGGGAGGAACAACACATATAGTCTTCATTACAAGAGGCTACCTAGTCAGGCCCCCGCACTATGGATATAGAGAAAGAGGGTAAAGCAACCCTTACAGTCATCGGTAGAGTGGATGTCCATACCCATAGTAAACATATGCAGATGGGGGGGGGGGGACATATACACTATAGTCGTCGTCATCATCAGACGGAGGTACACAACACAACGGTATTGGTGATGAGGTAAATAATGATAACACGTTTCAGTACACAGGTAAAACGCACCTATAGCTGACCACAGGGCATAACTAGTTATCTGCAACCACTCTTAATTCTATGTGTGGGGAGGGGGCTCACACCTGTCACTACAGCTGATAACAATACAGTATACGTAGGGTGTTACTGGATCATAGCTATCACGCCACAGGTACAAGGATCTAGAGGTTCACCGTCAGTTCGACATACCATGTACATGTGTTAGATGGGGATGCAGAAGATACCTGATCACAGGTAAACATTGGGCACATGCAAACTGCAACTGACCACAATCCACGTGGAAATTGGGATGAGTGTATAGGCGTTACCGATGATTAAATGGTTCAGATGGGTCCCTGTTCGGATATAATCGCGTCTGAGACGCTTAACATATATATTAAGATGTTAAATATATGTTAGAATATTGCAGGCGGTTGTCAAATAGGACCTTCTTAATCAAATCTCTGTAGCTATTACCTGACAAAAAAGTTTCAGTGTTGAGTATTTATTATAGTAAATACGTCCCCCTGGATCTGATTTATATATCTTTCTATCTATATACTTACTCTGGACAGATGTGACATCCAAGATATCATCACATTGAATCATCAAACCAGTTTTTAAGTTATGATGAGGTGTTGTTGAATGTGTGCCCGGGGGTCGTGGCGTAACGAATGTAATAAACACCGACACAGACTTGTGCATAATATTTGTGTATGTGTCTATACCTAGTTAGACATTTCACTATATGATCTGCTAGGGCTTAAAGTATTTAACGATCTTATCATTATATCGATCCATTAAACGCTCGGCTACTGTTTTATATGTGACAAATATTCACATGACTTCCCCATTGTACATGTGTCTTCTCTGTTGTACATGTGTCTTCTCTGTCGTACATGTGTCTTCTCTGTTGTACACGTGTCTTCGCCGTTGTACATGTGTCTTATCGGTTGTACACGTGTCTTCGCCGTTGTACATGTGTCTTCTCTGTTGTACATGTGTCTTCTCTGTTGTACATGTGTCATCGCCGTTGTGCACGTGTCTTCTCTGTTGTACATGTGTCTTATCGGTTGTACACGTGTCTTCGCCGTTGTACATGTGTCTTCTCTGTTGTACACGTGTCTTCTCTGTTGTACATGTGTCTTCGCCGTTGTACATGTGTCTTCTCTGTTGTACATGTGTCATCGCCGTTGTAGTCGTGTCTTCGCCGTTGTACACGTGTCTTCGCCGTTGTAGTCGTGTCTTCGCCGTTGTACACGTGTCTTCGCCGTTGAACACGTGTCTTTTCCGGTGTATGTGTGTCACCTCCGTTGTACATGTGTGTCTTTGTTACCATGTGGATAAATAATCGTATCTTGTGATTTTGTGATGGCAAACATGAAAATATTAACTGACAAGTTATACGAAATATGGTATCAATCCACTGTGTTGTTAATATACCAAATACGTACTATTTTCTCCCAGCTTGATCCAAATTGCCCTGTGACCTTTACTTCTGACATTGACCGGTCACAGGAGCTCCTTTCTTTAGCCATTTCACACTTTGCTAACATTCGTAGACTTTCAATTACATTGTTTTTCAACAAAATTCAAACGGATGACCTTTGAAAGAAATGGATGTTTTGAAGACAGTTTTCGAACTTTGAACAAGTGGCATTGCGGCACTGACCTTTGACATCTCACTTATACAGCAAATGGACATTTCTTGTCTTGCTAAGCAGTTATACCAAGTGTGATCGTATGTATATTTTGTTATTTTTTGTTCGAGAGTCTTTTACTGAAAACAAGTTAAGGCACAGAATTTCATCCTCCGCAGCCTCGCTATCATTAAAGAAGCAAATCTTGTTGATTATGAGAGACAATGAACTTTTAGAAATTCTGCAAACACTATACATCGGTATTCATGCATAAAGATACTTTAACAAAGTACAATCACATCAAAATGTGTGTATGTCTTTATAGGGGAGTATCACAGATATATCAGGTAAAAGGATTTTAATGTTATCAAGGACATTATAACGATATTAAAGACAATATCATGATATAAAAGACATTAGCATTACATCAACGAAAATATCATGATATAAAAGACATTAGCATCACATCAACGACAATATCATGATATAACAGCCATTAGCATTACATCAAAGACAATATCATGATATAATAGACATTAGCATTACATCAAAGACAATATCATGATATAACAGACATGAGCATTACATCAAAGACAATAATATTATGATATAAAAGACATTAGCATTACATCAAAAACATTTAGCATTACATCAAAGACAATAATAGCATGATATAAAAGACATTAGCATTAAATCAACGACAATATCATGATATAACAGCCATTAGCATTACATCAAAGACAATATCATGATATAATAGACATTAGCATTACATCAAAGACAATAAAATCATGATATAAAAGACATTAGCATCACATCAACGACAATATCATGATATAACAGACATTAGCATTACATCAAAAACAATATTATGATATAACAGACATTAGCATTACATCAAAGACAATATCATGATATAACAGACATTAGCATTACATCAAAGTCAATATCATGATATAAAAGACATTACCATTACATCAACGACAATATCATGATATAAAAGCCATTAGCATTACATCAAAGACAATATAATGATATAAAAGACATTAGCATTACATCAACGAAAATATCATGATATAAAAGACATTAGCATTAAATCAACGACAATATCATGATATAACAGCCATTAGCATTACATCAAAGACAATATCATGATATAATAGACATTAGCATTACATCAAAGACAATATCATGATATAATAGACATTAGCATTACATCAAAGACAATATCATGATATAATAGACATTAGCATTACATCAAAGACAATAGCATGATATAACAGACATTAGCATTACATCAAAAACATTTAGCATTACATCAAAGACAATAATAGCATGATATAAAAGACATTAGCATTAAATCAACGACAATATCATGATATAACAGACATTAGCATTACATCAAAAACATTATAACGACATCACATTCAATATAATGATATTGTTACGCATTTAGTAGCCGTTTAATTGTTCAAAGTATACAGATGAT